TCATGGCCATATGGAGTTAACAGTATTAACAGTGTCATGGCCATATGAGTTAACAGTATTAACAGTGTTATGGCCATATGAGTTAAGAGTATTAACTGTGTCATGACCATATGAGTTAGCAGTATTAACAGTGTCATAGCCATATGAGTTAACAGTATTAACAGTGTCATGGCCATATGAGTTAACAGTATTAACAGTGTCATGGCCATATGAGTTAACAGTATTAACTGTGTCATGACCATATGAGTTAACAGTATTAACAGTGTTATGGCCATATGAGTCAACAGTGTTAACAGTGTCATGGCCATATGAGTTAACAGTATTAACTGTGTCATGACCATATATGTTAACAGTATTAACAGTGTCATGGCCATATGAGTTAACAGTATTAACAGTGTCATGACCATATGAGTCAACAGTGTTAACAGTGTCATGGCCATATGAGTTAACAGTATTAACTGTGTCATGACCATATAAGTTAACAGTATTTACAGTGTCATGGCCATATGAGTTAACAGTATTAACTGTGTCATGACCATATAAGTTAACAGTATTAACAGTGTCATGGCCATATGAGTTAGCAGTATTAACAGTGTCATGGCCATATGAGTTAACAGTATTAACTGTGTCATGACCATATAAGTTAACAGTATTAACAGTGTCATGGCCATATGAGTTAACAGTATTAACTGTGTCATGACCATATGAGTTAGCAGTATTAAGTGTCATGGCCATTTGAGTTAACAGTGTCATGGCCATATGAGTCAACAGTATTAACAGTGTCTTGGCCATATGAGTTAACAGTATTAACAGTGTCATGGCCATATGAGTTAACAGTGTTAACAGTGTCATGGCCATATGAGTTAACAGTATTAACAGTGTCATGGCCATATGAGTCAACAGTATTAACAGTGTCATGGCCATATGAGTTAACATTATTAACAGTGTCATGGCCATATGAGTCAACAGTATTAACAGTGTTATGGCCGTATGAGTCAACAGTATTAACAGTGTCATGGCCATATGAGTCAACAGTATTAACAGTGTCATGGCCATATGAGTTAACAGTATTAACAGTGTTATGGCCGTATGAGTCAACAGTGTTAACAGTGTCATGGCCATATGAGTCAACAGTATTAACAGTGTTATGGCCGTATGAGTCAACAGTATTAACAGTGTCATGGCCATATGAGTTAACAGTATTAACAGTGTCATGGCCATATGAGTCAACAGTATTAACAGTGTTTTGGCCATATGAGTTAACAGTGTCTTGGCCAAATTAGTTAACAGTATTAACAGTGTCATGGCCATATGAGTAAACAGTATTAACAGTGTCATGGCCATATGAGTTATCAGTATTAACAGTGTCATGGCCATATGAGTTAACAGTATTAACAGTGTCATGGCCATATGAGTCAACAGTATTAACAGTGTCATGGCCATATGAGTTAACAGTATTAACAGTGTCATGGCCATATGAGTCAACAGTATTAACAGTGTCATGGCTATATGAGTCAACAGTATTAACAGTGTTATGGCCATATGAGTCAACAGTATTAACAGTGTCATGGCCATATGAGTTAACAGTATTAACAGTGTCATGGCCATATGAGTCAACAGTATTAACAGTGTCATGGCCATATGAGTTAACAGTATTAACAGTGTCATGACCATATGAGTCAACAGTATTAACAGTGTCATGGCCATATGAGTTAACAGTATTAACAGTGTCATGGCCATATGAGTCAACAGTATTAACAGTGTCATGGCCATATGAGTTAACAGTATTAACAGTGTTATGGCCATATGAGTCAACAGTATTAACAGTGTCATGGCTATATGAGTTAACAGTATTAACAGTGTCATGGCCATATGAGTCAACAGTATTAACAGTGTCATGGCCATATGAGTTAACATTATTAACAGTGTTATGGCCATATGAGTCAACAGTATTAACAGTGTCATGGCTATATGAGTTAACAGTATTAACAGTGTCATGGCCATATGAGTTAACAGTATTAACAGTGTCATGGCCATATGAGTTAACAGTATTAACAGTGTCATGGCCATATGAGTCAACAGTATTAACAGTGTCATGGCCATATGAGTTAACAGTATTAACGGTGTTATGGCCATATGAGTCAACAGTATTAACAGTGTCATGGCTATATGAGTTAACAGTATTAACAGTGTCATGGCTATATGAGTCAATAGTATTAACAGTGTTATGGCCATATGAGTCAACAGTATTAACAGTGTCATGGCCATATGAGTCAACAGTATTAACAGTGTCATGGCCATATGAGTCAACAGTATTAACAGTGTCATGGCCGTATGAGTTAACAGTATTAACAGTGTTATGGCCATATGAGTCAACAGTATTAACAGTGTTATGGCCATACGAGTTAACAGTATTAAGTGTCATGGCCATATGAGTTAACAGTGTTAACAGTGTCATGGCCATATGAGTTAACAGTGTTAACAGTGTCATGGCCATATGAGTTATCAGTATTAACAGTGTCATGGCCAGATGAGTTAACAGTGTTAACAGTGTCATGGCCATATGAGTTAACAGTGTTAACAGTGTCAGTTAACAGTGTTCATGGCCATGGCCATATGAGTTAGTTAACAGTGTCTTGGCCATATGAGTTAACAGTGTCTTGGTCATATGAGTTAACAGTATTAACAGTGTCATGGCCATATGAGTTAACAGTATTAAGTGTCATGGCCATATGAGTTAACAGTATTAACAGTGTCATGGCCATATGAGTTAACAGTATTAACAGTGTCATGGCTATATGAGTTAACAGTATTAACAGTGTCATGGTCATATGAGTTAACAGTGTTAACAGTGTCATGGCCATATGAGTTAACAGTATTAACAGTGTCATGGCCATATGAGTTAACAGTGTTAACAGTGTCATGGCCATATGAGTTAGTATTAACAGTGTCATGGCTATATGAGTTAACAGTATTAACAGTGTGTCATGGCCATATGAGTTAACAGTGTTAACAGTGTCATGGCCATATGAGTTAACAGTGTTAACAGTGTCATGGCCATATGAGTTAACAGTGTTAACAGTGTCATGGCCATATGAGTTATCAGTATTAACAGTGTCATGGCCATATGAGTTAACAGTGTTAACAGTGTCATGGCCATATGAGTTAACAGTGTTAACAGTGTCATGGCCATATGAGTTAACAGTATTAACAGTGTCATGGCCATATGAGTTAACAGTGTTAACAGTGTCATGGCCATATGAGTTAACAGTGTTAACAGTGTCATGGCCATATGAGTTAACAGTATTAACAGTGTCATGGCTATATGAGTTAACAGTGTTAACAGTGTCATGGCCATATGAGTTAACAGTGTTAACAGTGTCATGGCCATATGAGTTAACAGTATTAGCAGTGTCATGGCCATATGAGTCAACAGTATTAACAGTGTCATGGCTATATGAGTTAACAGTATTAACAGTGTCATGGCCATATGAGTTAACAGTGTTAACAGTGTCATGGCCATATGAGTTAACAGTGTTAACAGTGTCATGGCCATATGAGTTAACAGTATTAGCAGTGTCATGGCCATATGAGTTAACAGTATTAACAGTGTCATGGCCATATGAGTTAACAGTGTTAACAGTGTCATGGCCATATGAGTTAACAGTATTAACAGTGTCATGGCCATATGAGTTAACAGTATTAACAGTGTCATGGCTATGAGTTAACAGTGTTAACAGTGTCAGTTGTGCCATATGAGTTAACAGTGTTAACAGTGTCATGGCCATATGAGTTAACAGTATTAGCAGTGTCATGGCCATATGAGTTAACAGTGTTAACAGTGTCATGGCCATATGAGTTAACAGTGTTAACAGTGTCATGGCCATATGAGTTAACAGTATTAGCAGTGTCATGGCCATATGAGTTAACAGTGTTAACAGTGTCATGGCCATATGAGTTAACAGTGTTAACAGTGTCATGGCCATATGAGTTAACAGTATTAGCAGTGTCATGGCCGTCACTAGTGAAGACCATCGTGATTATGGATTATTTGTACAGTAAATTTTTACCAACCTGAGGAGTGACTTAGGAGTAGAGTGAGGGAGGGAGGGACAAGCAGTATAAGATGGCAGGATTAGGATCAGTATGAGGATCAGGTGGTTGGTTTGGGGCACTACAGTCAGCTTCACTTGGTGTGGCTTAGGGGGAGGGAGGGGTGGTCATCAGCCTGGGCACCAGTGTTTGCTAGACCAACATCGTCACGGTCGCCTCCACATCCTCCACCACCTCCTTCCTTTCTTTATTCCCCATCTTCTCTCTGCCTTACCTGCCAGATTTATTTTATTTTGTACTCATTTCTCCCCTACTCACTTCCAGTATCCATTAGAATTTAAATGAAAATATTTATCTTTCTGTAGTAGTATTTTTTATAGTAAGTGTTACAGTATAAGAGCTTCACATCATTGGCTTATTTTTTGGTTTTCATTTCAGATTTCCTTCTTTCCAATTCGTAGCGCTGGGTCAGGTGAGTACTGTAGTTTTTTATTGGTCGTCTATTAATGCTGTATTGTGTATGTCTTATTCTGATGTACAGTTTTATGGAATTGTTAAAAACCCTAAAAACAAAAAAAAAACATTCATACATATATTTTTCCCCACAGATGCTTGCAACAATCCTGGTATTATTTATTGCCAAGAGATTAAAAGCTGTGGATTTTCCCAGCTTATCACTTGATGTTGTCAATAAAATTTGGCCGCTTCCTCTCATATATGTCGGAAATCTAATATTTGGTCTCGGAGGAACCAAAAGACTCAGGTAAGTTGTAGGGTATTATAAAGACAGATATATCCTTAATGTTTAGGGCTTAAGGGTTGTGTAATATTAAGATAGCTTTTTCCTTAATAACTGGGGTTGAAGGCTTGTAATTTGAATAGTTGCCCGTATTATTAACGAACTGATTATCGGGTATTAATAATTTAAGCTCCAATTTCTGTATGTGATTTGGATGGTGTGGAGAAGTGGGTAAAGTACATTGTTTGCCCCCTGTCCTATGGACCACTAGTCCATGCCCAGGGTACCCCCAGTCCACCCAGTTATAATGAAACCTCTACTGTATTTAACTGATTATATTAAGAGAGAAGTCCATTATATCGAGGGTCCATTAGATGTGAAACCCTCCATCTAACGGATTATATGGAGAGAAAAGCTGTTATATGGAGGTTTCACCTTATGAATGGGTACAGTCCTGTCAGTGTACAGTAGGTGGTTCAGTGTTGTACTGTATTGATCACACTGCCTCATTGAACATCATACAGAGGCTTAATCTAGAGGATGCTTTCACATATAATTCACATTTATTCACTAATTATGTCGCATTGATTTCTTTAACCTTTAGGATACGAGGCATGTCTCTCTGCTGAATAGAATTATCTATGTTAGCCAAATAAAATATGAAAAGTGGCATCCAGTAGTGAAGAGGTTACTAAATTTTATGGGTACTGTAGTTTCATGTCATATATAATAATGGCTTAACATCATAGTCAAACTGCCATCATTTAAAAGCCAAATTTATAAGTCACGTCTATGGTTCTTTTCATGTTATTCAAGAATTGTTACTGTGAATAAGTTATACATAATGGTATTGTTCATAAAACTATATAAAGCCCCATTGGTATGTAAGGTTATATAGTAACCTTTCATTTTCTTTTCAGTTTGCCGATGTTTACAGTACTGAGAAGATTTTCAATTCTCTTTACGATGATTGGTGAAAAATTTTTATTGGGGTAAGTTAGAAAGCTTGATCGCCATTTGTATGTGTCATTGAATTTTAACATACATGTACTGTACTGTACTGTAATGGTCAGTGTTGATTTATGTTAACACTACAGTATATAATTGCCTATAGAGAATATACTGTACTGTAATTTACTCTATTAATTATAGTTTTTCTTATTAATACTCTTTTTTTTTTGTAGAGAATAGATTGTCTGAAGATTTGTTTTATTAATTATTGTTATTAATACTCAGTGTACTGTTATTTTCAGGGTCAACCCACCATTGAGTATACAGCTCACTGTCTATACAATGATCTTGGGGTCGATAATTGCTGCATTGTAAGTTATCCTCTCTCATTTACTGTTGTGCTTCAATACTTTTCTTAATATTTCTAATAGTAGGCTGATATATGATTAAAGAATGTAGGTACTGTACTCTTTCAGCTAGTAAAACTTGACTTAACAAAATATTCTTTAATCTAAGCCACTACTTCTTCTCTTAAGTTTTGCCACACCCTCACAGTATTACCATCTGTGTGTTTAATCTGTTCTTCCTTTATTCTTGTATACAGTACTGTCCAGGTTACCCATGTTTGTGTTGGGGGCTATGTACTGTAATGCAGAGGTAGCAGAGTCAGAAAAGGATTTCACATACAGTATATCTTAAATCAGTTAAATATGCTGAGGAAGACTGCTGAGATTAAATGCAATTAAGACCAAGATTCAAGCATTTCAAAAGAAGTGAGCAATATTGTATGTGTTTGAAGAGAGAAATTAGGATCTGCTGTGAGGGAGAATTGTTCATTAGAGATGGTAACAGGAAAGAGGAACTAAAGCGAACTGCAAACAAGATTTATTGGAGATACTCTGAGTGTATTTGTGGGCAAAGAAGAGGCTAAATGTATCATTGTATGTCCACTCACCTAAAGTCCTTGGGTGACTATTTCAAGTACTGGTGAGAAAAATCAGCAACCTTTGCTTCTCAGATCCCTTATTAAAAGCTAGAGTTGCTGCATGAGAATTGGATTGGTCTTCAGTTTTGGCCTTAGATACCTAGGTTAGAGCTTCCCTGGGTTCCAAAGCCTGAAAGATCATTGGACTTATCCATGAATAGTTCCTGACAGGCTTTACTGGTACAGGTAGTATCTTTTAAGTACAGTACTCTATGGGAATATTTGACAGTCTCTTTTGTTCAAGATGATTTGATGTATTTCAGAAATGATCTTTCCTTTGATGCTGTGGGTTACTTTTTTGTCCTCACCAATGATCTGTTCACGGCTGGTAATGGTGTATACGTCAAGAAGAAACTGGAGAGTAAGGAGCTGGGGAAGTACGGCCTTCTCTTCTACAATTCCCTTTTCATGCTCCCATTTGCCGCAATTTTCTGTTGGTTTAATGGAGATTTAGATAAGGTAAGCGATCTGTCTTTATTAATACAGTTCTGTGCATATTTTTTTAAATTTTTATGTACTATGGTAATATAATATTTTATGGCTTAATATCAAATAATCATACTCTTAATAAATTTATTGCACTTTCCTCAACAATGCTCTAAAAATAACCTGTACGTAATCAGAAATGTGAAAATATGAAGAAAAAACATAGTATAACCTCTCTTTCTTCTTTGTTTCTCTCTTCCCGTTCCATCTCTCTCTTGTGGAATGAAAGCTAAAGATAAACTGTTAGTCAAATGTGTAAAGTACATTAGGACATTGTTGTGAAGACAATCTTAGTGTCACAGAAAGATCAACATTACAGAATGTTGTTTGTGATGCTCAGGTTACATGTCCTTTAAGACCAGTGTTGCAATGGTAAGTTTGGTAATCCAGGTTTGAAAACAGCCTGATCCGAATAATTTTTTTCATTTGTTTATCCTGTTGATTTGATTGTCAGGATAGCATACTGTGCTCTGTTCACATTTCAAGGGCCTCATTACATCCCAGAATGCCAGCCTCAGTTATTTGAAAGTTATTTTAAGATATGTTAAGTTAATATTTTAATCCAGTATTGTACAGAATGTATTTCCAGTAACTTAAGTTTTATATTATTAGATACAGTATAGTCTGGGTTTACGCGGATATTTTATACGCGTTTGGTCATTTACGCGGCACCTGTCCAGACGCGCCAATTATTAGTTACGCGGTACATTCCTTGATTTATGCGGCAAGCAGCGCGGGCAAGCTGCACAAGGTCCTAGGCGCTGAGTCACCGCTGATGTCAGACTCGTGCCGATGACGTTTCGGACTGTGATTGGGCCACGTATCCTTACCACCCACGCATCCCCTCCACCCCGAGCTGTGATTGGTCTATTTAACTTTGTGTGCCCTGCCATCAGAGGGGCTAAGTCGCTGACCTTGGCTGCGTCAGTCCCATTGTCTTCCGTCTCCGCGTAAACAGTGCTCCCTCGTGCCCGGTAACCTGTTCAACAATGGCTTCCGCTGGACCCCAACCACCCCCGAGAAACCTTGAACTACCTGGCCCAAGCCGCCCGAAGCCCAAGAAGGTGCGACGAGCCTTAAGCTATGAAGTTAAGTACAAGATCATTCAGGAGTTAGAAAAAGGCACGAGGCAGGTGGATCTGGCCAGACAATATGGAGTGAACGAATCGACGATCCGCACGATCAAGAAGGATGCCAGCAAGATCAAAGAACACATGAGTCTGTAGGTGCGTCGATGGTGAAATATTGCCACAATAAGGTGCTGCTGAAGACTGAGGAACATGGCGGTCGACACTCAGGCAGTGCAGGACTATGCGAGAGAACTCTACCAATCAGTGGCAAGAAAAATGGGAGTTGCAGAGCCCAAGCCCTTCACTGCTTCCGCTGGGTGGCTTCAAGGTTTCAAACGGCGAAACAAGATCACCAATACAATATTGAGATAGTCGGAGAAAGAGCAAGTGCCGACCGGGCTGCCGCCATGAATTTTCCCCCATTTTTACAAGAAATTATGGAGGAAGGACAGTACACCGACGACCAAGTGTTCAATATGGATGAATCCGGGTTGTTTTGGAAAAAAATTGCCATCCAAGACCTTCGTAGTCAAGTCTGTGAGCAAGTGTCGGGGCCGAAAAATGCAGAAGGAGCGCATCACCGTCCAGTTCACCACAAATGCCTCCGACACTTTTAAGCTGAAGTTGTCGGTGATCTATAAAGCCCGCAAGCAGCATGCATACAAGAATATGGACATGAGCAAGTTAAATGTCCACTGGCTAACCTCAGGGAAGGCGTGGATGCTCACTGCTCTGTCCCTCTCCTGGTTTGACAACTGTTTTGTTCCTGATGTGAAAAAATTCTGCGAGCAACATAATGTTCCATTCAATATTTTGTTGCTCCTTGACAACGCACCAGGACACTCGCCCCTATTGCTGGATCGTCACCCCATGTAAAAGTGGTCTTCCTTTCCCCTAACACTACGTCGTTAATCCAGCCCATGGATCAGGAGTTGCTTTGCAACGTGAAGGCTGCTTTCTTCGCAAAGAAGTTTTGGCTCCTGAACGACTTCACCAACACCAAGGATGAATTGCAGAACCTTCTGAGTGGCACCGATAGCGAGAGCGAGGACGAGGATCCAGAACAAGATTTGGCGGACCATGAAGTGCGAGTCAAGCAGTTCTAGAAACTGTTTAACGTCAAGAAAGCTGTTGATTTCTTGGTGGAGGCATGGGGGCAGCTATCTGTGGCAACGATTCGTCACGCGTGGCGGCATGTGTTGGAGGGTATCCCAGGTGGGAGGCAGAGTCAAGCGGTGGCTGGTGAGGCTCAGTCTGTTGCTGTGGCATTGGACATTGCAAGAGAGGCTGCACAAAGTGTTAGAGCTGCAGGCTTCTCCGAGACCACCAACGACGACATCCTGGAGGTAATCAGGCAACCTGAGGTGACTGGACGAGATGTTGGAAGATGATGACGTCAGTGAGCAGCCAGGTGTTACGGCAGAAGAACAAGAGCAGAAACTAACACATGGTGATGTCAAGGAGGTCATTGAGTTTGCTGAGAAAATGAAGCTCATCCTTGTCAAAGACCCAGTCAATTATCACTATGAAGTGTCCAATAACCTTCTTTTGAAATGCGTGGAGCCCTATGTTCAGATGTATCACGACCACATCAATGCTAGCCATCAAAAAACATTACCGAGTTCTTCACCCGCAACCCACCACAGCCAGCCCAAGTCAGTGATAGTGAGGATATGGACTTTGAGGGGTCTGACAAGGGGGCCTCACTAGCCTCTGTGGTGGATAGTGATACAGGTGATACAAGTGATACAGGCGAGCGCCAATAATCTGCCCTCTGCCTCGGAACCAACCTCCCATCCCCGTGTGCCCAGCCATCTCTTCTACTAACGTAAGTGTTAAAGAACCTAATATTATTGATATTTCTTTTATATATTAATTGTGTGTGCATACCATCATAAAATTAAGATGTTATTTTTACTACAACGTACGTATTGTGTCAGAAAAAGTGGTGTCTGGGGGTCGGCCCAGTCTCTTTTTCAATTAATCCCATATGTTCTGTTATTTTGTTTACACGTTTCGCGTTATACGCGGACCTCCATGGGTTCAATTGACCTCGTAAACCCAGACTATACTGTACATTATTAAAGTACCGTATAGTATCTTAAAAACCTAAGTTAGTTATGAGTACAGTACAGTATCTTCATTTACATGTTTCAGGCACTGGCTTATGATGGCTGGAGTGATGTACTGTTTATAATGCAGTTCATTATGTCCTGTATTATGGGATTCATTCTTATGTACTCTGTGATGCTGTGTACACAATTCAACTCTGCCCTCACCACAACCATCATTGGCTGTCTGAAGAACATTTTTGTAACCTACCTTGGGATGATTATTGGCGGAGATTATGTCTTCTCCATGTATAACTTCCTGGGCCTAAACATCAGGTATGTTGACTAAAATTCTCTTTTGAATGTTCTGTAAGCTAGACATTAACTATAACTCATTAAATTGAAATTTCAAGTCCTGTGTAATATAGAGTGTTTTATAATCAGTAATTCCAGTATCTTGCATGAAGTTACAACATGAAATACCTCCCAAGAGTCACAAATTGTGTAAAGGATTAACTGATGAAGGGTGTCATCACAGGGCTCTTCCTTGGGGGAGGGAATCTCCTGATTGAATAATGCCACTCCAAACTGTTTAGTAAGTCTATGGTAAGGAGTTGCCTGACTTGCTCCCTTCCTCTCTAGGACCAAGTATAAACCTCAAGTGACCACCCTCACTATCCTTTCACCAGTCAAACTAAAACATGTCTGGTCTATTGATATTGCATTACTCTAATTCTTTTAATTAGTTTGGTCTGCCTGGTTCATATCTTGGCATCATTAATGGTTTACACTTGCTGTTTACAGGATCACAGTACAGTACTTATAATTATGACTGTTTCGTCTTATTTTTCTGAGATTTTCACTCTTTCTGCCTCATTCTGTCAAGATTTTTTTTTTTTTTTTTTAGTAATAACAACTTTGTGAGTTTTTTGTAAAGGAAATTCTGGTAAAAGTTACATCCCAATAAACTGAGTACTGTACAGTATTTATAGTTAGGTAAAATTCTCAATGACCCAACAACATGACATTTCCTGAAGTATACTTGAGCCTTTTATTATTTATTCTTCTCAACAATAAACAAAACCTTTAACTCTTTTTTTTTTAATTCAATTTCCTGCCAAATATTATCCTACAACAGTTGAATGATCGTCTCACAGCCAAGGGATATGCCTAGACTGTAAAACCTCCATTTAACGAACATCAACGTAACAGGTTTACAGCAGTCCGTTATATAGAGGTTTCACTGCACTGTAACTTGTATCCAAAATATACCTCTGTATGTAACTAAATCTTGTGTATATTTGTGATATATAACTAGGGAAAAATGTCATATGTGTGAATGATGTTAGAGAAGTTTGATACCAAAATGAATTCAAACTTCTTTTATAGAGCTGTGCAACCAGTATACAGTAGCTGCGAAATATACTGTCTCAGCCAATACATACTGTCTCAGCCAATACATACTGTCTCAGCCAATACATACTGTCTCAGCCAATACATACTGTCTCAGCCAATACATACTGTCTCAAGTTAGTTATAGAATTCTTTACCAAACTCCAGAACCTCTTAGGAGATGATGGAGCCATATTTCAATGTAATGAGATTTGATTTTTCTATTATTTTATGAAATTATGTAGTACAGTATTATCCCCATATAAGAATTGACATAAAGATTAACCAGAACTTGGGAAGTATTGATGTTCTTATTATGGAGGACTTCAAGAAGACATATATTCCCCAAGGCGCTGGTGAAGTTTTATGAAAAGAGACACTGTATGTGGATGATAGTTGTCTTAAGTAATACCTAGTACACTTAACTTTTGATAATACGATATCAATAATTTTATATTTTATTGTCGGTAGATTTAGTGAGATTTTGTGATTTTTTTTTCTTTCTTTCTTTTTTTAATAAGCTTAGAGGAAATATTATTGTGTTTAACTTGTTACTTTGTGTATAGTTAACTACTTGTGTATGGGATCCCCTCCGTGCTCAATAAAATCATGTTGCATTAGTCAAATAAAATATTAAAAGTGGCATCCTCGTAATGAAGGGGAGAAGCACCAGCATCAGTGACAGTGTGCTGTTTGGCTTCATTCTGTAAACATTCTCTCTGAAATTTCGTGCAGTTTATCAGCAATATCTCTGTTACACTGGCATCTTTATGTCAGGCCAGCATAAAGTGCAAGTACTGTACTGAAGCCCAATATTTAAGGTAAGTTGATTTGTTATACCCCTGTATGCTGTACTGTATAGTACTGTACAATATTCATCATTACCATACACAAAATAGTCTGGTACAGTATAGGGGGATTTATTGTGTAATATATATATATATATATATATATATATATATATATATATATATATATATATATATATATATATATATATATATATATATATATATATATATATATATATATATATATATATATATATATATATATATATATATATATATATATATATATATATATATATATATATATATATATATATATATATATATATATATATATATATATATATATATATATATATATATATATATATATATATATATATATATATATATATATATATATATATATATATATATATATATATATATATATATATATATATATATATATATATATATATATCCCACAATAAGCATTAGATAGATAAATCTTGATAAAATCACGGGAAAGAAACGGGCACCTTAACTTTCGTGCTGTTAGGACATCTTAGAGGCAGCAGTTACAGAGGTTTAAATATACAGGGTGACCTTATTAAACATGAGGTCAGGTCATAATGATGTCATCCACTAATCCCCACACCAACACCGACACACACGTAGAGGAGCTTAAGAGATGGGGGCGACGTGACTAGTCAGGTCAGGTCAAAAATAAGGGACCCACTAAATAACTATCCTACATCTAGATCAAAGGTTTTCAAATCATTTTTAACCTTGGACCACTGACAAATAAATTTATGTAACATATTATCAGTTTTGAACTGACAATCACTAAGGTTTATTGATTTTAATTCCTTAATCAAACTAAGCTTCAATGAGAGTCTTTCTGTGACACAAGATGATTTGAATACTTGTCATACTTGTCATGCCATCAACCGTCAGTGAGACAAGACGTGCCCCGAAGGCGCTCCCGGTTTTAGCAGCCAGGCCGAGTCTGTTTGGCCCTGCCCACTCCCCCTGCTATACCCCTACCAGCCTTACTACACCAGGATCTATTCAGCAAAACATTCTAGTGATTAGTGAACGATTGATTACGGAGCAGTGTTCCTATAGTGCACTTAAGGAACTTTCTCGGCAAAGCATTCAAGTCATCAGTGCAATAAGTGATTATCATACAGTGCTCGATAGTGCACCCCAAGGAAAAGTCAGACAGTGGGCACTTTATCGGTCATCTTTAAAGTGCCAGTGACAAGGACCACCGCGGTGTTTACATATATCGTGAAAACTGTGTCGGCAACCCCAAGCACCAGGGACAAAGACCCACGGTCTTTACGACTGACAAATATTAACAGATGTCTACCAGTGTCAGTGTCCCTCAAAGTGCCGCCAGTGACAAACACTTCCGTCCGCCCACAACAGATTTCAACAGATGACCACCAATCACTTACTCCCGACGCACTCTGTACCATCTAAAGCGTGGGAACGGTTATCCTGATGGCAGTGTTATCGCGCGACTCAAGTCACTGAACATATTCCACGTTCGGAGCCGTAGACAAGGCCGTCATACACATAAGCCCATTAGAACCGTAACCTCCACTAGGAAACCGGAGAAACCCACCCCTGACAGACCATACCACCACACTGAAGTTCCACGGATATGGTATGATCTCCCGTCTTTACTGCTATCCAACGTTACTTCCCTAGCTAACAAGTTCGACGAGCTGGCAACTACAGTCAGGTCAGCCGCCGCGGGCGTCGTTGCCATATGTGAGGCTTGGCAAATTGTGCCTGAAACGTGTCATATTGAGGGATATCAACTCTTTCATTAACTCTTTCATCACCTTCGTTCACATAGATGCGGAGGGGGCGTTGCCCTCTTCTGTCAAGATGACCTACGCCCGTCACGCCTGGATGTTCAAGTCCCAGCAGATGTGGAAGCATTATGGGTACGTGTTGTGCCACGGGCCCACCCGCGCCTCACTGCTTCCATCATAATCTGTGTGGCATACCATCCGCCGCGCTCACCCACCAGAGACACTCTTATCAATCATCTCATTACCACCTCAGACCACCTCAGAGTTAGGTACCCATGTGCCAAGTTAGTATTATGTGGGGATTATAATGAAATTGACACCACTGATATCCAGGACTAGCTATCACTATCACAAGTTGTGAACTTCCCAACACATGGTCAAAATACCCTTGACCTTATCTTAACTGACTTAGCGGACCAGAACCAACCACCTCAACCAATGCCTCCTATCGGGTGTAGCACACACTTATCAGTGCTCTGGTCCCCAGCTGCCACTCCCACTCAAGTACAGAGACCCTACATCAAGACCTACAGGCCGATTACTGACTCTGCAGTGCACCTCTTCGGGCAGTGGATAGTTCACCATCCCTGGACTGAAGTACTTAGCATGGATGACGTGGAAACCAAATGGATAAATTATACCAACACCACCACGGAAGCTCACCACCACTTTTTCCCCGAGAAGTCCGTCAGATCTCACCCAGCTGACTTGCCCTGGATCACACCTCGGATCAAAAGACTTATGCAACAGAGAGACAGAGCCTTTCATCTCAATGACCACATCCGCTACAG